ACAAGACAACTTGGCTGTGCCATCCTATGTCAGCTCTTACCTCCACATGCTACAGTCCCCCACTCCTACATTAGCACCCACTGTTTGCCAGAGTGCCCATTTTGTGTAATTATACGAACTACAGAAAGCTAATGGCCCTGACAGAGCAGTGCCTAGGCCCATTACACCTCGGGGTGCTGCAAAACACCATTACCACCACCAGCAACCTGGAGTGTTTGTGAACGTAGGTGAAAGTCCGTATGTGTGTATGTATATGTGTGTGTGCGCAACCTCATCTCCATGTGTGTGTTCATGTAGATGTGTTGGTTGAAGGAGGTCGGAGGTGGAACGATACATGTCAAAGAAACACAGCAGTTACTACAGACGATTGCCATTTTTAGCCACAAATGTGTGTCTGTCGTTATGTTTGTGCGCATCAACACCTGTCATCTCTTCCCCATTAATTTCTCCAGGGCTTTGGCTGCTTGCTGCAGGGAGCTGTAGTTGTCACCACAGGAAAGACAGCAAGGCACCTCGCAGGACTTTGGGCACTCATTGTACTCACTTCACTTAGCACCATCTCATTCTGCCAGCAAATAGCCTATTTGGTTCACAGGAAGAGTGGGCTTTAATTGTGTGTTTTATCTGTGTGCGTGTGTGTCTGTGTGTGTCCAGTCACTGTGAAGTAATATTTCTCTCTAACTCCATTTGAGGCTTCCGCTCAATAATAGTCATCTGTAAATCTCATATATACGTAACAGTTTCATCCTAACTCACAGATATGACTCCTTCCTTCTCCTTCCTGGTTGAGCATATTTCGAAAAGCGGTGCCTTCATATTTATCAGCCCTGCTTTGCCTCAGGGATTGTGTGGCGCTTGTTTTACTTAAATTTGTGGCTTTACAAATGTGAAGTGCAGATGAGGATGGAGTGTATTTAATCAGCTCACCCCAGCCAAATGCAGGTTAAAACAATAACTATACGCACAGCAAGTAAATTCCACTTGACCCTGTGTAACCATTATGTTATCCCATTCACTTTTTGAAGAAAGAGCCTTAGCAGTCTTTCTATTGACAATCTGCTTTCCCCTCACTATCAATAGCCATTAACCACTTTAAGCCTTGCCAAGCGTAGGAAATGGAGAGCTAATTGTCTTTTTTGTAGCATACTGTATACAGTAATGGTGGATCAATCCGTTTGTTAGCATTGTAGGATAAATGGATATTCATGCCTGAATAACCACAAGCACCCCCCCCCAGATACACAAACGCATATACCATACACACACACACACAAGCACACAAACAACAATAGACAACAACACACAGCTAGACAACAAGTCTAGCTACATAAACTCCTACAGTACACATATACACACACATCTCTGTATCATCTCTTTCACTGATTTCACACACCGTTACGAACATGCATACATCTCCATACACCAATCCAGTCTTTACTTACATCTCTCTCTTGTTTATAATTTCATGCACAGCACTACGCTACCCCCAAATACATGCTAAACATACATTGGATTTCATGAATTGCACAGATTCCTTTTTTTTCCCTCATGCAAGCACACACACTCATTAACACAGAAACTTGTGGCCTCTCAGTGTGGAGTGTTGCCACCTGTGTGGAGTGGAGTGAGCGCAGCATTCCCCCCTGACAGCGAAATGTATGCAATTAAACCGTATTAAAGTCATTAGCCCAACAGAAGTGATAGCCAGCAGATGGTTACCACGCAGAAATATGCTCTTAATGAAGCTCTTCAGTCACTATGGGTGTGTACTTGTGTGGCGGAGCAGGCGTGAGCACGCTCCTGTGTATGTCGGTTGTTTAGGTGTGTTGCCTAACACTTGAGGCAGCACTTGATTAGACGGTGGTTGGTCCTTCTCCTGTAGCATAGTAATTAGTGCCTATTGTTGATTTATAAAGATATGGTAGAACATAGTAAATTTCACCCCTACCACTTATCTATCCAATCTACCTAAATATGCTACAAGGATACCTACTACGGCAAAGTTTGACATGTAAGGAACGCTGTTTCTCTGGGTACAACTCTGTCACTTCAACCTCTCCTCCAAGATTGAAGGAGAAACTACGGTACCCACAAAAAATGCCCCTATCTTGAGCCAGTGTTTGGTTTGTCCGTTCTGGGCTACTATTACTACTGTTCAATATGGCGGACTCCATGGAAGGCAACTCGCTGTGTCTGTAGATAAAACCGTCTCATTCTAAGAAAGAAGATTCTTAATTTCAGGTGATTATAACTAATGAAAAGTTGCATATTATATCCCATTTCTGCCAATAGATTCTCCTTTTATGATAAATTCATTAAAAAAATCACTGTAAGGGGCCTCCTTTAGTCTAGCGATGCGCCTCAGCATATATTAATTTCACTACAAGTCATGTGTCGTCACCCATAGGGAAGCGTTCCTTATTCCTGAAGAGCCTTGGGCAGTGAAGTACAGTGGGCCAGATATACACATTGTCTAGCCCCAGGCAGCCACTAGCACTAGGGCGATGTAAAGCATACTTACCGTACACACTCATTCACATAAATACATACCATATATACACATATACTACACTCTTTCAGACAGACAGGTTATTTTTTAAATAATTAATTTTCTCTTTTATGTGCTCCCTCTTTGTTCTATTTAAATGAAATATTTGTTATTGGTGATTTGTATTCAGCTTAATGTGCCTGATGACAGATGTTCAGATACAAACAGTCTCTTTGTTGTTGTTGTTGTTGTTGTTTTTTAGCATCTGATTTCATGTGACCAACTCCAACACAAACACACATTTGCAACACATAAACCCACTCATGCTCACATGCACTCCTTTAGCTGTGAGCAACATTGGATTGGGAATGCGTGTGTGAATGGGAGAGAGGGTGAGTGATGAAAGGGGAGAGCTGATAGTGATGCTCCGTTGAATACAGATGAGAGAAAGGCAAGCTGAATTCTGATCAGGCTGCCCGCTCTCTTTCTTCCGCTCTCAGTCTCTCTCTATCCCTCTCCTTCCCTCAAAGTGAAAATACTTCAGAGAAGTGCGTCTTTCTGTGCCATGGGGGATGTCAATAGGTCAACCTTTCAAAGTCAAGGTCCAGGTCTTCTTCTCAGAGGAACATCTATTATAGTGTTTTTTTCTAACTGTAGAATTAACAAGCGGCGGGATTTTGATGAGTGTGATACGGGGCAGTATTTCCATGAACCGAGAGTCCTGTTTTATGTTTGACGACACTGTAGGCCAAATTTGTTCGCATTTTTTAGCAGCGCTCGCTCGCTGCCTGTGAATTTTTAAAATACTCTTACAAGATTTTAACACATTTTGAGAGCCTGAGGCTTTTGAAAGTCAGTCAACAAAATAATCACCAGCTACTCTTTCCAGTTAGGAGAAACAACAAAATTTTTAGAATGTAGTATACGTCAAAACTGAGATGCACCCTGAAGTTTTTCAGAAGACTGAGGTGCTTCACAGCTGCAGCCCAATCTGTAAAATCTGGCTAGGATGGCAGCTTTTGAGCTTAATTAGTTGAAGAAAACTTGTTCTTTTCCACCCTCACTCGGAATACAAATGCTTTTTGTTGAAAAGTCATCAGGGTCGTCTCACCGGCTCATTAAAAACGTGCGAGGAAGGAAAAAAAATTAATGGAGCCAAACACCTTAAATTTAATACGTGGGAGGGTAAAATAATACAAAGTGCCTCGCAAAGTTTTGTGTAGTTTGACTTTCTCAGTAGTTGTAGAAAGATGAGGGTTCGCATAAAAAATTTTGAAGCATTTTGACACATAATTCATTACAATTACATTCAAATACTTAAGCCGCTGTTAAAATACTTTCTGTAACACGGTCACATCCTCAGCAAACTGCTCAGGAGTCAGACGAGCGCCGACGCCAGAAGACCCAACGTGATTTGTCCTCCGATGTGATTATCAACATCATGATTGGTTGTAAACCCTGTTGTCACGGCAATGATTTCAGCCTCGATGATGAAAGCTCCCGGGACACTGATCCATAGCATGCACACGCACACGCACACACACACACACACACACACACACACACACACACACACACACACACACACACACACACACACACACACACGGAATCGGTCTGTCTCACTGCTAACCAGTCTCATTCCCCTTTGAGAGAGAGGCATTAGTCGGCGAGATTGAACTCGGCGTATGTGTGTGTGTGAGGGGGTGTATTGCTGTTGTCTGTCTACTTACTTACATAGTAATGTACAGAACAGGAATCTGGGGAAAGGCTTGAGCTCCACCGAATTGTAGTTGACACTTTATTCGTTCTTTCCTGATTTTCTTTTTTCCTTAAACCCACACCCGGCTCTTTTTTTTCTCTTCCCCCTTTTCTCTCTCACAACTGTTATTAAACCACTTTGACTGAGTTAATAACATCTGTGTCACACAGGAAGAAGAAGAAGAAAACAAGTGCAACTGTGCCTGTCTGCTACACTAGCATTCGTATATACCAGACCCGAAGGGTGTACTTTGTGGGATCCCAAATGCAACTACAGCTTGTAATATATTGCGCTTTAGCTGCATTTAGATAGCTTTACATAGTTTGGGGCTCTGTAGTTTTCTAATAAAAGTAAAATTTTGTCCCCATTCATATCTGGTATGAACATTTATTTTGTATTTGGATATTTTATACAGATAAAGACATCTGATCACAGGCCTTTACACCTGCTATTACTCAGTTTCCTATACAGACCTAAGGCTGGAATAGTTTTTCACTGTCATCAAACAAACTGTAAAACTGACAGAGAAAACAGAATATACCTTTATATACAAGTACACCTATCAATAGCTCCATTACATGTTGTTAAGTACTCAAAACAAACTTTGAACCATTAAATGTGTTTAATGTAAGAGTCGGATCCTGACATAAACCCCTGCACTGTCTGAAGGTTGGACAGCTAACTCATCTGTTCATTTCTGTTCTTCATATCTCTGAAACTGATCTCTAAACCATTCTTTCTTTCTTTCAGGGTTTGATGATCCTCCTGCAGAACCTTCCCACAATGCACTGGGGCAACGAGGAAGTGAGCGTACTGCTAGCTGAAGCCTATAGGTTGAAGTTTGCCTTTGCTGATGCGCCCAACCACTACAAAAGATGATAAGCGTGGCTCTCTGCAGCCGCTGGCCTTCCTTCCTCCTGCTCTCAATCCTCCTTTCCTGCCCTGCAGTCGTCTACTGGACTTTAGAGGCCTCTACTCCTACACAGAAGGACCTCCCCCTTTTCTTAACCTCCCTTTCCCATATCGCCCAATGGGCCTTTCAGCTACTAAGAGATTTGAATCAACCAATGACTAAGAGGACGTGCGGTGTAGCATTCTAACATGTTGTTGTGGAGCCTTTTTTTAAATTATTTTTCTCTGATCAGCTCTGAAATGTGCACTCCTTCAGTCCAGTGCAGAAAACCTCTTCATCGTCGAAGACCACAACTTTTGTTCGGTCTGAGTTCAGTCTGCTCAAGCTGACGCCTCAAAGTACAACCTCAGGCCTGACGCAGGACCTTGAGCTGTTGCTCAGCACCGCCGGGGGGCTTAGTCTGGCTTAGAAAAATGTTCTTTTCTGCTAATTGTTATTTCCAATACCATGGCAATACATTACTTTTTGTTCCCGGAGGCAAAAATGTGACCTTTTTTTTCCGTTGGCAAGAAAGATGGCAAAAGGGCACGGCACTGGATGGTTTACATATCTGAGCCCTCTCTCTTGGTCACAAAACAACCTGAAGGAACATGACATGTTCCTGTTTTCCTCTTCTCCCCTGCTTCGTGCCAGAAGGGATACAGTTTGTTTCGCTTCAAACACACTAGGACTTTACAGAGAGAGAGATTGTCAGTCTGCGAGTGGAAGAATGTCTCCCCTCACAGACTGACAACCCCCCCCAGCCCCCCCCAGCCCGTCCTTCCACCCGCACTGCAGGATCACAGTGTTTTGAGTGCCAGACAAGCAGTGGTAAGAGGCTGCAGTTCAGGAGTTACACTGACATCACAGAAGGTAGTGAGCCATTAGGAGTAAGAAAATTTGTTTTCCATAGACCTGCTTATATATGAAGGGACATGTCTTATCTAATAACTCCTCCTCCTCTATGAACCCAGGACTACCTCAGAACACACATTTAAAACACAAGTGGTACAACTAGAAATCTAGGCTACTAGAAAGGCATGCAAAGATTAACACAAATCAGTGGGGTCAAAATAAAGTATTTGCAGTCCAATTGAAAAATTGAATCATCTTCATGGATGCTAAATTCGGTATTTGAAGAAAAAATGTGCTGCTTTGTGTTTTTTTTTTTTTTTGGTCGAAGTAAAGATCCAAATGAACAATTTTGCCTTAATTAAGACACATAGTTTCTGTCTTTGTATTCTCTCACCCCTTTCTCTCCTTCTGTCATTTGGGCCTTATTTTCATGCGTGCACATGCAACTTTCCACAAATGAAAAGTGTGACCTGATTGTTCCGACGAGAACACCAGTAAGGCAGTCTGTAATGAGCTCAACATTATTGAGTGATTCTTATTAATATGTCATCCAGCAAGGCCTTTTTTATTTGCCAGTTAATTTGAATGCCTATAAACATATGAAAGCAGCTGGTGCATGGGTGTTTTAGCAGCTTCTATCTTAAAGGAAGTTTTGCACCTTTTTAAAAATTAATTACACATGTTTGATCCACATTGGTTCTCTTAATTGAATCATGTGTAACCAAGCACCGGATAAAATAACTTCTATGCTAGTGTGCACTTAAAAGTAGTCAGTACCTAACTTCTAACTTTGTATTCTGCACAGATTGCAGAGATATTAGAGACTGTGACATCCTGGAGATGTATTAGACACTTACAATACAAAAGCGCTCGCTCGTCACTCAGCTTCAGGATCCGTCAGTCTCCATATCCTCTATGATGTCATAAAAAAACAGTAGGTAACCAGGGCGTAGCGTTTTTTTCCAACAGGGACAGACCCTTTGGTGTAAATAAAAACATGATGGAGTAGGAACAGAATCATCTTTCCCCGACTGGGAGAAGCTGGCCTGAACTCGGCTCTAATGTGACAGGTCGGCTTGACAGATGACAATTATTAAACTCACCCCTTAATGTAAAATACTTCAGCATATAGCGAGCTACACATAAATGAACAAAAACAGACCATGTATTTCGATTAAATAACAAGAACCTTATTCATTTTGTGTACATGACCTGCCGATTCTCCATCTTCGTTGCATACATTGCTCTGTTCATATAGAGCACGTGGGAAGTCTTACCCAAAGTCAGTAGCACCATATTGGTGTTAAGTTGGGATAGGGGGAGGGGAGGTTGGGGGATGGGGGGTAGGGAGAGTAATCAGACATTCATGACATAACACAAAGCTGTTAACGTTCAGAGCCTCCTGTCGCGACTCCGCCAGGATCCATTATTGTCACCCCAGCCCGCAAAGTCGGTGTGCGTAGGTGTGTGAAGGGGAGATGGAAGGAGAGAGGGACGGGGTTGTGTTTCTTTGGAAGTTTCAGCACTTTTTCTGTGAGAGATGTCAGTCTTTGATCACACGTTGGGATTTTTTTTATACAATCTGCACCAGTTTCACAAGCCCCTCATCTCCCATGCTCTCTGACAAGGAAAAACTGCACTTAATTTAAAAGTCTATAGCCTTTTTTTCCTCTCTCTCTTTTTTTTTGTATGAGATATATTCTTTCAATCAGCATTTTAAAGATTTGTCTTTTTCTCTTTTTTTTGGTTTTATTTTTTTATGCTGTTTACATGACAAGCCTATTAAGTTGTGCCTGACTCTGGAGACACGAGACATCCTTGTTATGTTTTTGACCTCAAATGAACATTTTAGATTTCTGCAAGCAATAGTATGATATTTTGAATTTGCTGTGAAATGACAGAAAATATCTGTGCACATCTAGTTTTTGGGTGTGTTAGCCACCAACACAAATTGTTTAATAAAACTCTGGGCATTTAATAGTTCAAACTTGGCAATTGATCATTCGCTAATCCCCTTCTCCAAACAGGGATTGCCCGGTCAAGGCTTAGCAACCGTCACTAGGCACAGCAGGCCTGTCAAGGATTTCTCTACATGTTGAAGCAGTGTGCACGGGGATGTAGTAAAAGACATACTCAGCATCTGAAGTGTTTAGAGTGTGGTGTCCATTTTGTAGCCTCTCCAAAACCAAAAGCACAGGACGTAAGGTGTTAAACATTAAAACGTGACGATAGCTGCATTAGTTAGTTGTTATGTCCGGCGAACTAGCTTACTACCTACTGCACAATACTAGTAGTAGGGTGGTCACAGATTACTGCTCAGTATTTCTCCATTTAGTGGAAGCAGGTCCTGGATGATATCGGAGTTAATGCTAGCAGCCCTGTCCAGCTGTTAAACGGATTTGGGGATGTTTAAACTCAACACCAAAAAACCATTACCTGAGATATTGTTTGTCAAACTCAGTTGTTGAAACTTCTTTTCTCTTTTAACGTTGTAAGTTAAAAACTTTTTGCCTGGGACATGCTGCTTTAGCCTCTTTTAGCACAAGCTCTTAAAGCACAGTCTCATGTCTGTTGCCATTTAAAATAATTGTATATTTAAAGGCCCAGTGTGTAGGATTTAGTGGCCTCTAGTGGTCTAGTTGCAGATTGCAACTCACTTATTTCACCCTCCCTTTCCAACAGTGAGGGTCAAACTACGGTAGCTGCCTAATACACAAACAGCTTGCCCTATCTAGAGCTAGGTTTTAGTTTTTCTGTTCTGGGCTACAGTAGAAACATGGCAGTTCAACATTAACAGTTGTCATTACAGACAGCAAATTCGACGGTTGACATCTAGAAGTGAGAAGCTGCTTTTGTTTACCTCTGCTTTAAATCAAAGGACCCATTGTTTGAAATTGTATTAAGAATTTTAAGTGACAAATCTGCCACCGTTATAATTGTAAACTGCACATCTGCTGAGAATGGAAAGCTTGACAGGCGTAGCAACAGTAACTAAGGAGAATGGGGATTTGCGAACAGTCAATTATTGTCCCATTTATTATCCCAAGTTCTACTTTTCAAGAAGTTATGTTGCCTTATTGCACACATTCATATTGAACACTGGGGGGAGGGGGATGTAGTGACGCCACTAGTGGTGACCACGGATGCCCGGGGAAACAAATAATGTTGGAGGTTGACAGCTACTGTATTCTGTGTGTTTGTGTGTGTGTTTGAAAGAGAGTGTGTGAAAGTCATAGGTAAACAGCATAGCCCCCCCCCTTTTTTTTTTTTTCAAATCATTCGAAGAGCTTCTCTGTTTTTGCTGTAATGTCATATGCAGTAATTTCCCTTTAACAGGAGGTAGCTGCATACTCAGCTGTGTGTTAAAAGACATGATTTAATAAAAAAAAGCACACATGCTACCAATGTCAAGTAAGTCTGCCTGTAACCCGCTGTCTCTCAGCACACACACACACACACACATAAACACACGTCTCCATGGTGATGAAGGCCGAGGTGGTATCTGGCTGGAGCCCTTTTTCTATTAGCCAGCACACACACACACATACACACACACACACACACAGGCAGACTTCAGACATTATTTGGGGCATCTTCAGGAGGGTATCCTTAAGTAACATTTTTAGCTGCTTTCATTTCTATTAAAGTTTTTTTTTTTTTGCTCTACTAAAAACTCCAGACATGAAAATATCTTTATAAAAACCAAAAAAAAAAAAAAAATCCTCCCATGTCTTTTGCCTCTTGAGAAAAATCTAATAATACTAGACCGTGTGGGTGACAGGAATAGTGGTTCTTGAATTTAAAAATGTGTACAGAGAAGATTTTGAAACAGAAATCTGTAAATAGAAAGTGTAAATAAATCCTATATATGACAAAACTGCTTTGAATAAGGCGTCATGTTGTGTATGTGTGTTTTCTCGGCGTGTGTACACTTGCAAATACTGCTGTGTGAGAAATCACTGCATCTATAAATATTCCATGTCCAATTGCAGTTAAACTCAAGGTATGATATATTTCACAACATGGTCCTCAGAGCCTCTCTATCTAGAGAAACCATGCGGCATCACATTTCTGCAGCGTACTGATCTGTCCCCCGGTAAGCCTAGAATGAAGTTCTTCACTACGATGAAAACGCAGATATAATGCAGATGCTTTCGATCAAACCTAGAATCGCTGCTCCTATTTGCTGTATCAGTGTAATGAATGCATTTAGTGTGCCTGTGTGTCTGTGCATGCATTAGCCAGCATGGCGAGCAGGCCTTGGCTAACAGCTGTGCTGATGGCTAATTGTATCAGTTGTATTCATATACCGTTCCCATACACACAGTCTAACAGGTAAACACTTCTTGTCTGATCCCTCTGGAGGAAATGGCAGCACTAGCTTGGATAATGAGACTTTGTGTGTGTGTGTGTGTGTGTGTGTGTGTGTGTGTGTGTGTGTGTGTGTGTGTGTGTGTGTGTGTGTGTGTGTGTGTGTGTGTGTGTGTGTGTGTGTGTGTGTGTGTGTGTGTGTGTGTGTGTGTGTGTGTGTGTGTGTGTTTCAGAGGACTGGAAGGAAAGGAGGAGACAGAAAAGACACAAAAACGAGAGCCAGGCTGCATTCACTTGCAAATGTGAGTACATACCTTTGAGTGAGTGTGTGTGTGTGCGCGCATGCAGCAGCCCGTAGTACAAGCTCCCTCGCTCTCGTTAGGCTGACTGATGTTCACACAGGCAGCCAATTATGGAGTGCCGGTCACTGAGGACTCCAGTCACTTCATGGGAAATTAAAAATACATTAAAACCAACAATGGTCGCAGGAAGGCACTCGCTTGTGCACATTCGCACACACACACATCTACCATAATGTGTGATGAAAGATGGGAGAGGTGCCAACAAAGCAGCAGCACACTAGCAAGCACAAAAAAATAGATACAGTGCAAATATTAGCAAGATCAACTTTACCTTTAGTTTTTTCCTAATGGCCATTTTCCTCTCTACATATTGTAGCTGTCTGCTGTTTATTTGTACAGTATGTCACTATTATAGCATCAGCCTTTGCAGTTTACCTCCCCATGTCCTCCTAACCCCCCCAATTTACAGGCCTATAAAGCACAACTCGCCTTTTCATCAAGGGCTCACCCTGGCAAATGTTGCAACATTCTGGGATCACTAAGGCAGAAACGTCGAGACAGACTTCACAGCACTTTCGTGGAATTTTAAGCCTGTGTCTGAAATGAATTTCCTGATTCAATTTTTATTTCTTTTTTGAAAAGAGGAGCTGCACGGCAACGGCATTATCGTCACAATGAAGGATAACGCACAGATCGAGGATGTCTCCGGCGAGGATTTGAGATGCTCTGTGGAGGCACTGGCAACTGTGATGTAAATCAGTTTCAATTTAAAGTTGGTGCAGAGGGATTCAAATATGTTGGTGGGGTGAATGGAAAATGATTTCTTGCTGCTTAAGAGTGGCAAATTTCATGTTTTATGTTACAAAATATATACATAAGCTGTAAAAACCTGTGTTTATAGTAGTTTCATCTCCTCAAGTGATTCTCTTCTGCACCTTTTCTCAAAGCTGGAAAATCTGCTGTTAATCTGTCTTCTTTCTTAGAAAATGACTGTTATCTCTCCTAAAATTTAGAAAGACAGATTCTCAAATTCTGTGGGAGGAGAGACATTAATTGATGACTGTGAAGAGATTAAAAACTACAGTTATTGTTTTTTTTATAGGCCTTGTGTGGGATGCAGAAGAGAGCACTCGACAAAGTCCTTGCAAACACACAGGGAAAATGCAGCTTTGGAAGGAAGTGGAAGTGATTTGGATCTGTCACGACCAACAATTTTTGGCAGTAATAAATCAAACTTTGATCAATCGTACGGCTCCTCAGATAAAGCATGGATTCGTTCATTTTACTCACTTATTGAAAAAATTATTTATTTACTTATTTAATCATTCATTCACTTATTTACTGATGGTGGAGCTATGTTAAGAGATTTGTTCATATTGTTCCAGTGTGACAGTTTCCCAACACTGGGCGACATTACAGAATCGATACGTTTTCCCCAGCTGTAAGAGCACATAAGATAACAGGAAGTGTAGTTGAAAGGTGAGTAAACGGAGCCCTTTTGCACCATCAATATGCAAAATGCTAAATCCATGCAAGATGCAGCCCTAATATAGACACTGTAAAACAATATGAGTGGATAGCACTGAGATAGCGAAGTTCGAATTATCTATAATTTTTAATTAGAGCTATTTAATTGTTTAAAGGTCCTGTGTGTAACATTTAGGAGGCTCTGTTGGCAGAAATAAAATGTAATCTTCATAGGTATGTTGTCACTAGTGTATAATCACCTCAATATAAGAGTCCTTCTCATTACTTTACACTGAAGGAGTTCTTCAGCCACCATTGTTTCTTCTAATCACTGAGATGAGTGTTATTCAGTTGGTTGCAATCCTCAAATTCACTACTAGATGCCACTAAACCGTGCACACTGGCTACTGACAGCCTACTGCAATAAGGCTTATAAGCAAATATCCTTGTAAGATTTTTAGCCTATATTGTTAATTCATATTGGGAGTCATATTTTTGCATCAAAAACCTACACATTCACTTGTAATTGCTTAGACACAAAGTGGTGCTCTTTCCTGCATGCCACGGTTTAATCATTCAAACCACAACTGACAGAAACACGTTACTGTAATATTAAGTGTGTTGAGACTCTCTTCAGGCCCTTCTCCAGTGGTTGAAAGTAAATTTATTAAAGCACATTTATTCAAGTACTAGACTTAAGTTATTAACTTATTTTAAGGGTACTTATACTTAACTACTTACATACTACACAGCATTTCAGAGGTAAATATTATACTTTGTACTAAACTACATTTATTTGACAGCTATTAGTCAATAGGTACTTTTCAGATTGAGATTTTACAAAACTTGTAATAAAAGCTAACACAATATGTGATCCAATTATAAAATGTGATGCTCTGTTATAGATAAAACTACCGAAAAGTATATAAGGTAGTTCAGTTAGCTCCACCTCAACCTGTTTTCCCATTAAAGTGCTGTTTACATGTTAATGACATACTTGTTCTTTTGAAGTATATTTTTATATTTTGCTGACGGGATAAAGACAGCCCTGGTTCAGTCTTCACTGTTTAATGCAGAGATCAGGCGGTCCTCATATTTCACACTTTACATGAGGGTTTTGATGATTTCTTTCTTTAGTTTTTCTGTAATCTTTTGATTATCTCATCCAGCTGAGAAGATAAATCAGAACACCTGCACACTGACCATGATAATCTTTCAGCTAAGAAACACAGCAGGCACAGATAATCTTAGCTGAGAGATTATCACGGTCACTGTGCAGGTGTTTTGGTTTACTTGATATGCTGTTAGACACTTGCTCTGACTCTGGCAGGTAAAATGCCATCATGTGGAATTAATGCCGGGACCCAACACACTTACTGAAACCAAAAAGCGTCAGGAGGAGGAGCTAGAGGAGGGCAATTGAGGTGGATTCTTTGAGACGTCTGCTGCAAGAGGACGTCACCCCAGCTGGTCATTGCACTGTGAAAAAAAAGACCTATAATAACTGGATTAACAACATTTTAATACTTTAAGAGACATGTTTTATTTTAGACAGTTGCTGAAGTAGTAAAAGTAGCTTAGCAACACTGGGATTTATCAGCCACTGACACTTAGCAACTGAAAAACTTCCCTCCCCTGCTCCGAAGATGTGGAACAGTGTGTTCTTCAGAGATTACATTCGAGGGCTATTTAAAGAATGCACTCCATTTGAACTCTCGCAACAAAGAACTGATCTGTCCTTTAATTTCTTCAGTCATATTTTAAAATCTCAGCGTCTGATGACTTGAATCAGGAACTTGTGCAGACAGTTACGGAGCTGAGCGTTTATGAACTTTGGCATTGCATCTGTTGTACCTTTAGCAGGTGAGAGCTTCTATCTGTCAGTAACCAGGATTTACACAGGAAGTGAATATTTATACTTGACTTCACGTTCTTAGAGCACGACTCGAACCTCAAGAGACTTGTGAGGAATTTATTTTATAGACGAGAAAAGTGAACTGCCCAAATTGACTGTGACTGCTTACTCATCACATCAAGCTGAACTTCAACAGGACTGAGCTCCCATCACATCTACTGTATGTCTTCTCGTCACATCACATGATGCTGACAGCGTCACAGTGACCAAAATTGACAGGACTTTATACAAGTGTCACTCTAAATCCATCTCCACAGTTAGGCCGTATTCAGACAAACTCATTCATTTCAATAAGACCACTGGTACAGCAATATTTCAAACTTATCTCCAAATAGAGCAAGAATAGCACCACTAATGAAGCTCCACCAGCTTGCTGACAAACACATTGCGTTTCCGATAGCTCCTTCATAATAAAAGCATTCCGCCGGTTCGCCAGTGGGAAGCTTTTAACGCCCCTATATGGCTGAAAGCGACCAGTAAACCGTAAACTAATGCTGATATCTGAAAGTACAAACTGGAACGCAGGAGTGAAACTTAACTCCAAGCCACAGAGATTCAGGGAGAAGCTGCAGAAGTAGTGAGAGCACAGACGCACCAGAGTTTTAGCTGCTGAGGCAAAACCCCTGCTGCTCCCCTGCCCATGAAAAAAACCCTAAAAGTAGGCCATAGGTTGTTTTCTTTGCCCTTAAGTCTCTGGGTGATGGTGGTTCACGTATTCACAGTACTTCACTCTCATCTTCCAATCTAAAATGTGCTCAGACGCTGGCTTTCATTAAAGATGAACTGGATAGCTGGAGTGTGTATGCTGTATATGGTCAGAGTGCTGCACTGTGTCAGTGTCTCCAACAACATAACATTATTAACAATGTACGAGAATAGATT